CGTTAGCTTCACTTAATTATGATAATAAAGCACAGCTCCGAGGATGGCCGTCATATGGGGGACAAAAGCTTAACACATTTTCACTGGAATCGAAAGATATTGCCTCGAGAACAGTCTGAAACAAAACGTTTCAATAAAACCAAATCAAATTTGGCTAAGAGGAATCCGCCATCTTTTTCTGGTTGGATCGGTCTTGCAATCTCTAAACGACACCATTTAATTCGAGATAGAAGTAAGCTTGCTAAGTTAAAACCGAGAGATTCCTCGAAACCCCAAATTTCAGCAATTTTTCTTCGATATCAACCGTCGAGTTGACAATAGGAATTCATCATCATCTTCAAGTTCATCCACCTTCAAATCACTTCGTCACACCCATTCACTTGAACTGGATGTGAGTCCAACCATTGCAGACCAAGCGAATCCTCAAGACCCAACTATCCGTTTTAATAACATATTTCTTACTTTCTGGTAGTCCAGATAAATACTTATCAAAATGGGAAGAAACGTCTTAGATTGTAATAATAGAACCAAATTTGTCTCATTGGTTCAGAAGAAGTCTAGCATGATCTGGCATGTTCTCTCCGGTATGTGACCTGTGTGCACCTGATGTATGTGACTATTTTATTTACATGACCCAGTTTCAAATATCGAACACCTTCTGCGAGGCAAAGCTATGAAAAATTGGCCTCATAATGCCTGCTCATTTCATTTTATGAACAATTCACCAGCAGTCCGTAGATCACCTAACGTGATCCAGGTTAACTAAAGTTCATAAATTTAAATTACTTGTGATTTAAGTGATTATTTGAGGCCATGATTACTTTGACCTTCATATCTGCCTCCCATCGGAAGTGTTGATGAGACCTGGGCAAGGTTCGAACTGCAGTTCTGCCTGGAACGAAAGGTTAAGTGAAACCACGTGCTATCGTAAGGCTTACACATCCCCTTGTGGGTAAAAACTACACTTTAAACCTTACATCAGCCCAATAGACCCAGAGCTACCAAGTCTCCATACAGATTTCAGTCTATCTGCGCTATTTTTTTAGTGTTCTGCAAACACTTGATGACTGTACTGAAATTCACTGTCAGTGGCTCAACAGGACTCGAACTAGGGATGCATGAGTTAGGAAGCATCGCCATTCCACGGCAAAGCAGACTGCTCGTATCTCACAACATTTTGTGGTGACCTTTTGTGTCGATAAATAAGCTTTAATTTGCACGGAAATTCGATGCTCTGTTAGAGAGTTGTCTTTTTCGTTTCCATTTTTCTCGTTTCTTTTCTTATTCCTATTGTTGTAAAGCTTATCTCCGACTCGGGCTCAATTATTAAGGAATCTAGTCTCATTAGGTGGTCCAAAGAGGCAACCAGATGGGGTCAAAGGAAGTTCGGCCCAACTCAGCTCACTGTTGAATGCCTCAATTTATCTACAAGATTCCAGTGATTAAGAGGATTAGAATACATGCTTTGTTAAGTCAGAAGCCGGAAATGTGCACGATAGAAAATATGTACAAGGATGACTTAATGGTAAAGTAGAATTGCCGCTTGACTGCGCGATTCAAGGAGTGGTGAGCATATTGAAGTGGGCACGGAGGGAGAGTAAGTATTTGCGGCGGTGAGGCATGAATTGGTCCAAAAATGCGAAAAGGAAAGTGCGGAATTGGGTCAGTCCTTGCTAAGGAAAAATTGCAAATATGAAGATGAGTCGTGCCAACTCACATATTTCGAGGGTATAAAGACAAAATCATGTAATTAATAACTTAAACTGACGTTGAAATAGCTCGTGGCAGTGAGATGTCGCTTACAGGTTCTCCTTTTTTCGATGCGAGTAATATGTGACTAAAGATTTTGTCCCTCCAAGCTGATTAAGGTCAAAATTACAGTCTAGTCCAGCCTTGTTGATAAAATTGTATGGGAGGAAGGACTACGTTTAATTTAATTGTATCATGAAGCTTACTTGCCTTATTGTGGGAAAAATCTCTACTATCAGACTGACTTAGTCCTTACTCAAAAAGTGCTGCCTACTCACTTTGAAAATAAGTACTAGCATCGAAAAATAAGTATTTTGAAAGGGGCCTTGCTTGCCTTAAATGACTACACCTTCAGATGCCACTGAAATTCTTGCCTTAAGCACGGGTGATTTGTATCGAACCAAAACGATGATTAGCCAGCAAGGTTATATTTTAGGTTCTAGAAGGAGTTTGATCATACTGTGAACCAAATGCGAACCAAGTGGCTGGGGTAAAAATTAGAAGCTACGCTTCATCAAGTGAGTTCATTAATGATCTACACCTGGCCTCGTCTAGAAGTAAGATAAGGCCATGTAAGAACTTAATAAAGTGATATAAGGACTATTATTTATAAATAATATTAGAAAATATATTTAAATAAATCGCACTAACTTATGGCAAATTAGAATAGGGTTACCCTTAAGGTTAAGCTTTCAATTTAAGCTATAATTTAGTCATTTACAGGAGTATTATTTAAAGAAATAAAGTTCTTAAATAGCGATAGTTTAAACTTGAAGCTAGCAAGTCAAAATTAATAGAAAATTT